AATGTATATGAAAGTTATTTTTAATGACCATTGACACAAAATTTGATGAAGACTTATTAAAGTGAGCCAGGGTTACTAAAAGTGATAATGGGCATATATTCAATGGAGCTGGGGGTGGTATGGCTTGAAGACAAGAGGGATGGATAGTTAAGCAAAACTTCAACTTTGCTTTGCTTGATCAGTCTTACTAACTGTAACTGTAGTTAATTTTTAATAGAAGGATAATTTTGCCTTTTATGAGAAATGCCTATTTGCATATTCCCAGGACAGAGGCCCACTTGGGATATTACAGTATAAGGCTTCACCAGTTTATAGAATCTCAACTAAGAAAGGCCTCTGGAGGTGACACCAGAACTCTGTGGCTTGCTATAAAAATGGAGACAGGTATATTCTAAGGAGAAGGAATGGATGAGAAGCATATAGGACAGAAAGTGATGATCAGTTTTATATTAATAAAACAGACATTCTCAACTTGGGCCCATAAACAAGAAAAATAGTGTGTGTAGTACGTGATACTTTAAATGTTCACCAGATTTCTGAAAGGGTCCAGAAAATGGAGGAAGGGGTATTTTCTAAGAATAGCTGTAGGTCAAATGAACGGCACCAGCAAAGCAAGGGACAGGAGATATAACCCATCAGTACTCAAAAGAGTAGGTTAAGATTCGTCCAAGGCAGGGACCCTGTAGAAAGGCTGAAGAGGGAAGTTTCTCAGCAAGACTGGCTGAGATGTAGACCCAAGTAGAATGTAGACCCTAGGTCATTAGCGTCTGAAGTGCCAGAATGGGAGTGTAATGAGTTAGAGAAAGTAAAGAGACAGAATAAGCAGGCTTCCTGTGCACATTTGCTTGCATATGCACAAAATCTCCCTAGAGGATTTCAATTGCAATCTCTGGTAACACACTGATAGGAAAGAAGGTGACTGGGATGGGAGGCAAGTTTTTCAATGTGTGCCTATCAAATTGCACTTCTGTTTGTCTTTTGAGGCAGGCTCTTCCTCCAGTTTAACTGTAAATCAGGCTGTCCTTGATCTCACATAGTTGCACCTGCCTCTGCTCCTGAGCGCTAGGTTAGCGGTGTGTGCCACCATATCAGGCTAAATTGCACTTCTGAATTAAGATTATTTTAAAGCCAGATTCCAAATTTCCACTGATGACTATATGTTGAGGAGGGACAGTTTCTCTGTTAGCTAATCAAAATTAATATCACACATGACCTGGCAAAATCCAACCAACTTAATTTAGCTGTGAAAACAAAAAAATGAAAACAGTCTGGCCAATTAAATCAAGGAGCTCAATCTTTTAAATATCATGGTAAACAAAAGAGACTCAGGAAAGAATGAGCATCGTGATTTATTAAAAATAAGGATGAATTATCATATGTATTGCTGACACAGAGGTCAGATTGGTCAGCAAGCACAGTGATTGCTAAATTAGTTTGGATTCACCCTTTGGCTAAAAATGACTTTTCAAAAACTACTTAGAATCTTCTATCTAGCCTAAAATACGCTGCCAGGAAGATAACTGACTTAAGTTAAATGATTTCACTAACTTCAAACAGTAATGACTGGCATAAATTTGTCCTTATTCCATAAAGGATGAGTCATCTTAAAATAATAAAATTCGATAAAATGAGGACAACATAATTAAATAAGAATCAGACTCAAGAAAAATAAGGTAAACCCAGAAGCCAAAAACCAAAAGGGAAAGTTAGAGCATTGTATTGTGTTATAGTGTTTATTTAAAATATAGTAATTAAAATTTGAGTTGCAAATTTGACTCTTAAATTCCTAGCCACCAAGACAGAAAGGGAAATATTTATCTGGTTCCTGTTTTGCATGATGGAAATAAAAAGGCATACACATTAATCATTCAAGGAAAGAACAGCTTTGCTTTGGCACCTAGAGATAAACGGAATTTCTTGCATGAGCTTTAAACAGAAGCTGTAGAAGGGACCCTGATCATAACCTTATCTATAAAGTACTTTAACAGAAGGTGTCTTTTCACTGTCTATTAAGGGAATCTCTCACTGCACACAACGGAGGGGGTGTCAATCATGCTAAACAAGGTAACCAGGGAACATAGTTTGGGATCTAGCTTACTCTTGGTTTAAATTAGAGGAAGGAGGGGGCTGAACAGTATTGCTTTTGATCAACCAAACCTCTAGAAACATTTTTCTCAATTAACCCTATCATCTAATTTACAGACAATTCATATTCTCTCATATGCACAGACACAATTCATTCTGCAAACCTAGTAAAGGGAGACCAATGCACAAAAATGATTCTTCAACTTTATAATTGAAATCCAAGGCTATACAGATTTACTTCTGTATATTATTTTGTAATCACAAACAATTTTGATTCTACTATATGTGAATTGAGAAAATTCTGCTTAATTTAAAAATAAAATTAAGGGTGAGCTTTTTTTTTTTTTTTTTTTTAAAGATATTTAGCAAGGAAGAAGGTGTATAAAATAGTAGCCTGCGGAAGATACAGAAAGATGAAGAAACCCAGGTTTAGGGTTGTATTCAGTGGTGTGTAGCAGAGCTGCAGGGGGCTCTTGAGGCAAGACCTAAAAGTGAGTCACCTCATGCATTTGGAAGCAGGACAGGGAAGAGAAAAAAATGCCTCCTGCTTCTGCAATGAGGAAAAGGCTCTTGTCTGGTTGACTATAATTCCAAAGAACACTTATAACACATCATTAAGTGCTCAAGTTCTATTTTTTAAAAGAACAAATAACTGTCCCTTCGCTAAAAAGTGAAAGAGTTTACTGTAACCATAAGTGCTTTTGAAAAGTACCAGGTAAGCAGGAAGAACATCATAAATGAACTATTCAAGACCCTTAGTCACAAATAAGACTAAAAGTGTCCTTATCTTCATTGGGTGGGAAAATCTGCTCTGCTTTCAGAAATTGTAACAAATCTGTTCTTTTTATAAGTTTCCTCCCACAATTTCCCCAGTCTTTCTACCTTTCACGTAAAAGTATTCCATTTTGGAATAGTACAACTAGATTACAGAAGTAGTAGTAATACATTATGCTTTACCACAGAATGTGAAAATAAGATTTCTGGGGAATACGTCTTAAAGATGGCAAAGATACATTAAAATGAGAAGAAGGAAAAAAAAAAAAAACACAAGGCAATCACTTTCAGATAATGGTGCTAAGCAGAAAATGAAGTTAATAATGACTCACTGAAATTATGTGACAGGAAAACAAAGACAAGATCAAAACAGGAACCATTATAGAGCAAGAATAAAGCAAACTAGCAATGAAATTGCCCTCACTTGTCTTGTTCCTTTCACCATCATCCCCCCCTCCCCAAATAACATTTTGGAGCAAAAAAGGCATTAGAGCCTCCAACACCTCATTTTACAGAAAAAAGCAGTTAAAATGTCTCTAGGGCTGGGAATGTAGCTCAGTCAAAAAGTACAGGCCTAGCAAACTAGAAACCTTGGGTTAGATCTTGGATCTGATCCGCATCACAAGAAAAAATTATTTGTATCTACATCATATATGTGAGATCACTTCACAAATACTTCTAAATGTTTTATTTCACCTTTAGTTTTATGAAAACACATTACAATCAAACCACAACTCAACTTTAAAACAAGTTAACATGTTACTTATTAACCAAATCACTGCTCCCTCTGGAATAACTTATTTTCTTTAAAATTCTGCTTTCTAAATTGTGCTTGGAAGTTTAATTGAAACAGTATTGCTTGCTATAAAACTGGAAAAATGTGCAATCTTAGATGTGAAGTGAGCCTAAATGGAGAAGCATCTCACTTTGTAACACACAGAAGCATACCATGTACTGCTAAGAAGGTCAGAATTCAAGTAACAATGAAAAATAACCAAATTCATCTATTCATATAAGGAAGCAATTTTTAAGATCCACTTAAATTACACCAGCCACAGAATAAAATAGACACTGTAATTCTAAACTGTTGTTTTTTTTTTGAGTGCAGCCTGAAATACAGTTTCATTCATTCAACAAATAACAAACAGCTACAGGGCGTCAATCACAGGAGAACTGCAGGATGGAAAAACTACAGTAGATTTCTGTTCTCTTGGTGTTTACAGTGCTTCAGTTCACCAAGTCTCTAATCTGAAATACATGAACATAAAATTGGAGCTTACAATGATCCAATTTTCCAAAATTCTAAACGTTACTGCTTAATGTACAACGAAAAACGATAACCTGAAATATTCTTGCTAAAAGCTAGAATGTTATGAACTTTACATCTAGAAGAGAAAAAATCATAAGCAGTTATTCAGAAAGGCAAAGCACAGTTCAGGCTTGGAAGTTGGGCTGAGGGACAAGGCTGCCTCTGCTGGCTGACTGGCGCATCGTACCAGAATCTCAACTCCACGACACCTGTAACAAACTTGCTGCTCTCAAACCCATCGGTTCACGCCAGAAGGTTTATCCTGAGAACATGTCAGCTTCATCCATCACCTGAATAATCCGACTTCTATAAGGTCCTGCCTTAAACTGGCACCCCAAATGTTGACGGTGTTTGCATCACCTATATTATATGCCACTGGGACAACTATGAAATACGCAAAAATCGACAACCACTCCTAAACACCGCTAGGACAACACCTTGTTCGGCTACATTTTGGCTAAAAAGACAGGAAGCACGCATCTGCTGAATCAAAAAGGCAATAACATATTTCTACCTGAGCACTGAAAACGCAACTGTCTCCTCCCTCAAAAAGCCAACCTGGCCTCCCAAGGCCGCCCCCAGACCCCAGGGTCCCCAGGGTGTGGGCGGGAAGGATCCAGCACCCCTGCGCCCCAGCTCGGCCTGCAGTGCTCTAGCAGAGGGTTTCAGGTTCCCGCGGGCTGAGCCCAGCGCCATTAGCACACCTCGGAGCGCTCCCGCAGCCTCGGCGGGAGGCAAGTTTGGCTGCTAGTAGCCGCGGTCCCCGGCCTCTCAGGGGCCGCAGCATCAGCTGGCGGTGGCCTCCTGGACCCGCCCCGCCTCGGCCACCTACCTACAGGGCGGGGGCGCGAGCTCCGCAGGTCCGGGCGAAGGGGCTCGGGCGCTCGCATTTCTGGCAGCGGTGGCCTCTGCTGCACGGCGCGGGGGAGCGCATCCTCGGGGGCGAGGAAGGAGGGAGACCGCGCGCTGAGGAGGAGCGAAGGGAGGAAGCAGGGGCGCGAAGCGCGCGCCCGCCGGGCCCACGAGTCCCGGGATGCTCCAGGCCTCGCCCAGGAGCCTACAGCGGCGCCCACTGTCAGGGCACCCGCCGCTCAGGATTTCTGAACGGGGCGGAAGGCTGGGAGTTGCGGTGGCGCGACGCCGGCTCCTAGCCCGCCTCTAGCTCCGCCCGGCCCGCCGCGCGTTCTGCCCTAGTCCGCTGTGGCGGGGTCCCGGGAGCTCCGCGGCTGACGCTACCGCATCGCTCCTGCCCGGGGCGACCTCCGGGGCTGCAGGGTGGGCAGCCCGGCCACCCGTGGTTCCGCGCAGCCTGGGTTGTCTCGTGCTAACCCGGACCCAGCGGCTCCGCCCCGGAGAGCTGCGCGCGCGGCCTCCGCAGGCCTCGGCTCTTTGTGACGCTTCCTGAGCTCCTAGTGCACTGGGGCCAGGAGGCCGTCAGCTATCTGCGGGAGCTGGAAGGATCTGCTTACCTGGCCCTGACCGCATCGCCTATAGCAGGCTTGGGTCCCGATCTTCCAGGGAAATAAAGCTTTGGGGCACAGCTGGAGTTAGAGCGTCTCCTGGAACCTTAAAACCCCTTGACTTGCCCTTCTAGCTCGGGGACCTTGGGCCACAATAAATTCATCCTTCTTTCTTTTCCGGCGTTGCGATTAGCAGAGGGGCCCACCATCTCCTCCCCCTCTCGTCCCCAGCACAACATCCTGGATGCTGCCAAATTGCAATCATTACAGCAAAAGGAATGTAGCAGTTGGGCCGTCTAGCTAGCTTTTGGCTGAGAATGGAGAGGAGCTTGGTGGGAAGGTTTGCATCAGCTGCGGGGCCTATGCCTGTGAGCTTCCCACCCGCATTGGATGCGGTTCCCTCTAGAGTCCCGTGACTAACACTGCATGATGACTAGGAGGATCTGGCCGTGAAGATCACCCTCATGAACAGAAGTTAAAAAAAAAAAAAAAAGCCCTCAAGAAAGAGCCTGCAGCAGGTCTGATAAGATGGGTGTCAGAAGCCAGCCACACAGCAGATAGAGGCTCCTCTTTGGGTACTCCTGCTGTTTAGCTGTACCAGCCTCTCTGGAGGGCGGAGCGAAGCACTGAACAGTAGTGACTTTGGGATTCCACGGTAGGTGGTGATGTTACAAGGTCTTGCAAATATAGAATTCATCGCCTACTTTTGCACCAATCGTTTGTAATATCAATTCTTACACCTTTCTGGCTTGAGTGTGAAAAATGAAGGATTTCTTTCTTTTTTCTTTAGACACTTTTTTTTGGTAAATGATTTCGTCATTAGCAAGGAAAAATTCGGGTTCGTAAAATAGACGGAGCTGATTTTATTTGTATCAAAAGAAAAACGAGCTCTCTAGAGAAATTTTTTTTTTACAATTCTTTTGATGAGGGCTTTTATGATTTTGAAATCTAAGCTTAATAAAAATCTAAGAACACCCCCCCACCCCCACCCCCACCCACCCGGGGTAGTGGCATATGCCTGTAATCCCAGCACTTGGAAGACTAAGATAGGAAGATTAGGAGTTCAAGGCCACCAACTTTAACTATATATGACTAGCCTAGGCCACGTGATACCCTAATCTTAAAAACCCAAAAACGACGACGACGACGACGACGACGACGAGGACGAAGAAGGAGAAGGAGAAGGAGAAGGAGAAGGAGAAGAAGAAGAAGAAGAAGAAGAAGAAGGAAGAAGAGGAGGAGGAGGAGGAGGAGGAGAAGAAGAAAGAGGAGGAGGAGGAGGAGAAGAAGAAGAAGAAGAAGAAGAAGGAGAAGAAGAAGAAGAAGAAGGAAGAAGAGGAGGAGGAGGAGGAGGAGAAGAAGAAGAAGAAAGAGGAGGAGGAGGAGGAGAAGAAGAAAGAGGAGGAGGAGCAAAAAACCATCGTTTCAAGTCCAAATTGTGATAAAATAGCTATTATTTTTTAGGGACTTAAGCCATGTGGGGGTCAGGATGGAACAGTGTCTGTGCTGCATTGCCCTGGCTGGAAAAGAGGCACATAACCACTTCCTGACAATGGCTGATGCATCTAAAGCCCCACTTTATTGCATATCTCTGATAGTCCTGGTATTTTGCCCCAATTCAGAATGACCTGACTACAGGAATGTAAACATACATAGTGATGAATGAGAAACAAACTCACTCGGGACAAGATCTTGGCAGCTTAGCAAGGCGTATATACCCTGAATGTAGTTTCTGTAGGAAATGTTCATTGTGCTGCAGTTACTGTTTCCCATTCTTTTACCCCCAACAGCACCATTTTGTTTTTTTATACGAACCCCAGGTTCTAATGAAAAAAATAAGCCTTGGTGTTTTTTTTTTTTTCTTAAAACAAAATAGGTATATTTTTAAAGTAGTGACTGTCACTAATGTTCAAAATCAGTGCAAAGAATGTTATCTTCATACCCTCCCCTAGGAGTCCATGATGTATCTTGTGTTAATGTATAGCGTATTGCAACAATGGAAGTGAATATAATAAACTTTTCTGCTCCCCTGCTTGGGGGAAGGGCCTTCTCTTCACTCACTCTTTTTCATTAACTGGGCATTTACTGAGTACCTAGACCTTGTCTTTATAGAGAAATCAAAAGAAATATCATTCTGTAGATCCATGTCATCCAATATTATGCTCTCCAACCCCATGTGACCATCTAAATTTAAATCAAATAGTTTTTCAGTCTGTTAGTCATACTTCAAGTTCTAAAGAGCCGAACAAAGCTTGTGAATGCCTTTTTGTGTAGCACAGCAGATAACATTTCCTTATTACTTATTAATTTCCTATTTCCTTATTAAGAATCCAGGAAATTCTTCTGAAATAGAAGATCACATTTCAACGGTAGATGAAACATGCATAAAAGAACTTGGGTCATTTTAGTACACTCCGATCAAACGTCCTTAGAAAATGTACTTAAGAACATGATAATCCTTAGGAATTCATACTTTGACTCCACCATGTGCTGGCCTCGGGTAAATTACTTCATGATTTATCCTAAAGGGGGAATGATGGGAGTACCAACTTCATAGCATAGATATTATATAGGTTTTGACATTATCCATAAAGAGTGTGTAAAGTCTAGAAGGTACAATCAATAGAAGTCAACTATTAATGTAACTAGGTTTTATTGCAATGAAAGTGTTAGTTTTGGTTTTGGTTTGGTTTTTTTAGGACAAAGTCTCCCTGTAGCCCCAGGTGGCCTGGAACTCTCTATGTAGCCCAGACTGGCCTTGATCTTCCAGAGATCCATTGGCCTTTGCCTCCCAGGAGCTAGGATTCAAGGCATGTGCCACCATGCCCAGCAAAGGTAGTATTTTGATTTTTTAAAATTGTATCTCTAAACTGGACATGGTGACTCACTCCTGTAATCCCAGCTCTGAAGAGGTAGAGAGAAGGCTTGCCAGTTCCAGGCCAGCCTGAGCTACATACCTAAATTAGTTATGTTAATTACTAAAATAAAAATGGTTACCTAGGTGTGGTGGTGTACACCTTTAATCCCAGCACTCAGAAGGCAGAGGCAGGCAGATCTCTGTGAGTTTGAGACCAGCCTGACCTACATAGCAAATTCCAGGACAGCTAGGGCTATTTTGTGAGATCTTGTCTCAAAAAAACAAACAAGAAACAAATTGTTGCCTTCCTTTCCAACTTTGACCTGCCTGAAGGGCTCCTGCAAAGAAGGGTAAGAAGGGTGGCTGGAAGAGCAAGGGCTGTTCTGCCATCAGCAAGCACATCCGTGGAGTGGGCTTCAAGAAATGTGCCCCTTGGGGACTCAAATTTGGAAATTTGCCATGAAGAAGATGTATGCCCTGATACCAAATTCAACAAAATTGTCCAGGTAAAAGGACTACACAATGCTCCATATCATATCTGTGTGTTTGTCCCAAAAACCTAACAAAGAGGAGGATTCACCAAACAAGCTCCATACTTTGTTACCATGTTCAAAAATCTATAGTCACTGTGCATGAGAACTATCTGTTGAGTGTCAAATAAAATTATAAAACTGCAATGAAACAATAAAAAACGAATAAAAATTGTTTTCATAGCACCACCCACAGAACCGGCTAATGGAAGGTGCTAGATAAATGCAGAGTTGTTGGTGCATGTGGTCTCTGTCAGGAACACCGTTCCTCTTTCTATGATGCGTAGAAGTCATAGTAGAATGGAGTGCCCTTGTTCTTTTTTCTGTGATAACAATTCTCATATATTGAGCCTTTCAGACAGGTGTAGAGGCAGAGCTCTCTCCTGCTCTGAAAAAGAGAAGAGATATGTAAGTCACTTCACTTGCTCTGGCCTTCATTGCTTTGTGGAGTGGGAAATAAACCAGTGGGAAGCACCTGGACATGGAAATAATTTTACACAGGGCTTGAGTGTGCTTAGAGCACCACCAGACAATATCAACTATGCAAGCAATACTTTTCTTACCTCTCTATGTGAAGATAATTCTGTACTGAAGAAGTGTGGCTGGTGTTTGTTTTAAAATGCAGTATGGTTATGTCTCAAGGAACTGGAATTACAAGAATATTAGTAAACACTGCTCTTATCACTTTGCCAAAACAAAAGGTTCCCTGGATAAGTAATGAGCTTAGTGGATACGGAGATGGCTCAGTGGGTAAAGTGCTTGCTGTACAGCATGAGGACCTGATTTCAGGTTCCCAACGCTCACATGAAAGCCAGGGCCTCAAAAAATAGAGGAAGATACCAGAAGTGGACCTCTGGCCTAGACACACACACACACACACACACACACACACACACACACACACACACACACGAATGATCTTAGTTCTACTGAGTCTTGACTCTTGTAGAAGATTTCAGTGCAAAGATGTTTGAACTGAAATTTGTGCAATTGATGAAAAGTTGAGGCTACTACCACCAAGAAAGTTCACTCTTGAAGTGATAGTGGTTAGACCTGTCCTCCTATGTCTAGCACAGAGAGCAACACATCCTTTCCTACCTCTGACTCAGGTTGGTTGAGATGAAGGCTATCTATCAGCTGTAAGTGACACTGATGACATCTGTGAAGGTCTATACTTGGCCATCTGAATCTAAAGAAGTAGAGAGAGTTCATAATGGCATTGAAAGCAAGTTTGTTTTCACAGAGGTCATTGGTTCGTTGGCTCATCTTGAGATTTGAGAAAAACATAAAAGAAGCCATATGGTGACACACATCTGTAATCCCAGCACTGGGGAGCCTGAGGCTGTAAGTTTACAAATTTAAGGCCAGCCTGGGTAATACAATGAGTTCCAGGCCAACCTGGGATATAGACTGTGTTGATTGGTTTTTAGCTTAACATAACCTAGAATCATGTAGGAAAAGAAACTTAAAGAGGAATTATTTAAATAAGATTGGCCTGTGGGCATGTCTGTGGGGGATTGTCTTGATTGTTAACTGAACTAGCTCATTGCGGGCAGTACCATTCCCTAGACAGAAG